TCGGTGAGAGCTGAGAAAAAGTGGTAACAGACACAAAAAAAAAAAAACACATCATAGTAAAACCAATACCTTCTCAGCTTCTCATCGAAGCTAAAACTAAAAAGCACGCTATTAAAGCACATTGAACTAAAAATTTCAAAATAATTTTTAAAATAAACTTAAAACAATATTGAACGAAAAATACTAGTATTATTTTGATAAAAGCGTGGGTGCTTTGTGCCATATTTTTCGTATATTGAGCGCCCGATGCTTTTATCACAATAATACTAGTACTTTTCGTTCAATATTGTTTTAAGCTCATTTTAAAAATTATTTTGAACTTTTTAGTTCAATGTGCTTTAAAAGCGTGTTTTTTAGTTTTTTTAAACTATATTTATTGATNAAAATTATTTTGAACTTTTTAGTTCAATGTGCTTTAAAAGCGTGTTTTTTAGTTTTTTAAACTATATTTATTAATAGTGTTTTTTAACATTGCTTTTAAATTATATGCGTATATGGGAATTGCCGAACACAATAATGTAGTTGATAGACTGTTTTTCACCGAAAAGGACTTAAAGACTTTTATTAAATATAATCAAGGACAGATAGATAAGTTCAAAAACAATTTTAAAATTAATAAAAAATCACTGTCAATACAATCGGAGGTGCGTTGAGCTAGCAAAGTCCCAAGACAGCGGCGTTACGACGATGACTTCAACGTATCTCAGACAGATCGTCGTGGGCCGTGCGGCATTCGCTGGATTTTGTACCGTAACGTGTGACACGAGTTATTGGACAATTAAACTACCATACACACGTAGTAGGGCGATGGCTTAAAAATGCAGCACAGGTCGCGGGGCTCTAGACATTAAACCCAACCCAACAACGCTGGCTGAGCTGTGAGTTTCTATTTTAGTTGTATTAATATTATTATTACTCGAGGTTGGGTTGGGATAAAATTGTCCTTCCCCCTTCTCCCACCAAATGAGATTTATTATTTCTAATTCTTTGAATGAACAGCCATATTTCAAATCCTTCCCCACCCTCTTCAGAAATATCTATAAATAGCGGTCAAACGTAAGAAAAATCCTATTGTGTTGTCATATGTCTTAATCGTGTGTGATTAGTAAAGTATATTAATGCGATATTCAATATGAATTTAGTTGAAAATTTAAATATGAAAAAAGTGTGTGCTAAAATGGTCTCTAAAAATTTGACGATTGATCAAAAATTCAATCTCAAAGAAATTTGTTCTGACACCTTAAAAATCATCAAAGATGATCCATCTTTTATAAATAATATCATTACGTGTGATGAAAAGTGGATTTTTACATATTATCCTGAAACTAAAAGGCAATCCATACATTGGAAGACACCAACTTCCCCAAAAATGAAGAAAGCACGAAAGAGCAAGTTGAAATTCAAAGCAATGCTCATTGTTTTCTTTGACATTAAGGAAATAATTTTTGTTAAATGGATTCCTAGTGGAAAAACTGTCAACTAATATTATTATAAAGAGGTATTAATTAAATTAAGAGAACGTGTTAGAAAAAAGGGACCAGATCTGAGGAAGAATGGCTGGGTTCTTCACCAAGACAATGCTCCAGCTCACAGTGCATTTTCAATTCAACGTTTTTTATCTGAAAAAAATATTTCTATACTTCAACATCCTTCGTACTCGTCAGACCTTGCTCCTTGTGACTTCTTCTTGTTCCCAAAAATTAAAAGTTTATTAAAAGGAATCTATTTTCAAACGGTTGATGATGTAAAAATGAAAACGGCAGAACTTCTAAAAGGGCTAACTGAAAGCGATTGGCAACATTGTTTTTAAGAATCGCAGCTATTATTATACACTCCGCGCTGATATACTTAATTAACTAACTTTACTATTGTGTATTATACCCTCATCAAATAAAATCTGATTTAACTGGACGATTTCGCTTATATCAAATAATACTATATATAAAATTTTATTTTTACACCGAACTCACTCGGTAAACCCAGCTGACTCCATAGTAAATGTATTTTTTCTTTTTAAGGAAGCAAACACAAAGGAACTTAACGACTTATTTGCTTATTTCGATTAATCTTTTACCAATGGCTTTTTCTTTCTTTTTTGAAAAATTACTCCTACAAATGACTTCTAAGCGGTACTGCGACTCTTTCTTCTCAATTTTTTCGAAACGGTAAACTTTAAATTGTATACTACTACTGATTTTATAAATCAGTAGTAGTATACAATTTAAAGTTTATAAAGACATGCTTAACTTTATTCGAATAATAATTTTGACCAATTGGACTACGCTAAACTTATCCTGGTTAAATCTACGATTTTTATAAGTAGTGAAACTCTACACTACAACACACTTCGCACAATTTGGTACAGTTTCCGCCTGACCATACGATAAGATTTACGATTTTCGCACAATTTATTAATTACAAATCCGTGGTCGATGGACCATTTGGTCGGTAACTTACGGTATTTTAAATTTTGACTAAAATCACTTTATTTTAGTTAAAAATATGGACTGTATTTTTACTATACAGAGTGGCCCACCACTCACTGACAACTTAAATAACTTTTGATCCAGTTAATATTTTTAGTTGATTTTTTTTTTTAATAATAGTTATACGTTAGGTCTATAGCTATATCTCAATAATTAATTTTTTTACATTTTATTAAAAATATTAATTATTTTTAAATTTTAAATAAAATGTAAAAAAAAAATCTAAGATAGCTATTTTGTAGAGTAGAATTTAAGAAAAATTTTAGTAAAAAAATATCTTATTAATATTCAGTAGTAAATATTCTGTAGCGTTTTGAAGTTTGT